TCAAGTATATTCTATGCTTTAGGAGTTCACATTATACAAGACTGCTAAACAACGGAATGCTTCCTAATCTTTAGGAAGCCTCTCTGGTTCAACAAATCTACATTTTGCTCGCATACATTTGATGCATACATTTTATGAACTCAAATATGAGACTGGATGCTTGAATGCAGAATTGATGAAGTAAGAGGCAGAGAGAATGTTTGGTATAACATTCAAGTATTCTAGAGCAGCGGTTCCAAAACTGTGGGTCGCGACAGACTTCTAGGTGTGTCGTGACAAGTTTTCCACGGTGAAAAATTCAAATGGAAAAAATAAAAACAATTCAATCCTGAGTAATGGAATTAGCTCGGCCCTTGCACAATTCTACTTGCGGGCCTCCCCTCCTTAATTCTCCTTCCGCCTTCCTCTCAATTCAAAGAATAAACGCATCCCCTTCTTGTAAAGAAGGCAACACGGGCGCTTCTTCCCTTCGCTATCACATATATGTGTGAAATAGGATTCTCTGCTCTGACTTCAATAAAAAAAAAGTTTATTTTCGCGGCTGCAAGTGGAGAACGAATTCCAACTCGCCTTGCGAAAGATTCCTCCCTGAGTGGAGCATCTCTGCAAAGTGCACCAAACGCACAAGTCATACTCGGAATAGAATAAACGCTGCAAAAAAAGGCAGTGAGTTTTCTTCATAGCATGACTTTAAAATACTCCATTCTGGATTGCGGTGGGTCACGAACTTTTTTGGGCGTCGGCAAGTAGGTCGCGGTTCAAAGAAGTCTGAGAACCGCTGTTCTAGAGAATAGAGGAAATGATATATTGATGCATCCGGCCAATTCCCCATTCCATGAAGGGACATGCCTGAAATAATTTAATAGCATTCTCTGGTTGAAATTGCTTTGAGCATGAGTACAATTATGGCAACATCGCATCGATCTTGCCATAATTGTCTTTTGAATATAAGAAATGAGCTGGAGAGTAATGTTTCCAATGAAACCTCCAGAGCATTGGTTTCTGGACATTTGGCAGAAGTGTGAATCACTCTGCTTATATTATAGAGGAGTTTTTCCCGTAGTGATGGATGGCTAAAAATGTGATATTTCAGCAATGTTTCCATAATGTTTGAGTGGAATCGCTCATCAAAGATCGTTACGGCATATATTCGGAAGTGTTCTAGTTTCTTTTTGTTGCCTATTCTGTCTGTACTATTGAATCTCTCGCTCCATCGTTTTTCTCTATTCAAAATTGTTTTATGCTTCCAAAGAAATAAAGGAAGGGATGTGAAGCAAAAGCCTCCTGAGTTACCCACGAACGATAAAGGTGTGGGTTTTCCAAGTGAAATGCGTCCAGTTCCCTGTTCTGCGGCTCCTAGAGAAGGTCAAATGCGTCGAGAAGACAAACACGAACGTAACACCTTGAAGGCTGCCATTTCCTTGGAAATGGAAATGCGACATCAGATTGCGTCAGGATGACCGGGAGGAAAGTGCCACCTAGGATCAGCACCAATGGACTTTTTTACCTTAGGCCTCCGTCGGACTTGTGGGTAGGTCGACGTCTTCAGCCACCCGCCTAGGTGCTCTACTTTTTCTGTCTTATGAGTAATAATACAATTGACCACAGTTATACATCAGGAACGGTTCGGGAATTTCCATGCTTCCCCATTTGAAAATATTGTTTCCCGTCTTTTCTCAGTGACGAAAAAAATCCAAGAAAAATCCGAAAATCATCCCTGAGAGGAGGAATTTCCCCCCCATTTGGATCATTTGGAGGTATAGTTTATTCGGCAGCAAAAGACGCACTTGGTTGAGGACAAAAGATTTGATTGATGAGACGGTGAGAGGCAAGGAGTCAAAGAGATAGGTGTATGGGCGCGTCTTTTTTCCTTGCGACTCTGCTAGCTCTGCTGAGGCCTCCAGCATCCCATGACGTCATGTTAAGGCTGAGCTGCTCAGCGATCCCATTGTTCGCTATGTTCCGCTGCCAGCTGCTTGCCCAAGAGTGACGTCATTCGATGACGTGGTCGTGCCTAGCCAACGCGTCTTTTTCGCTAGCAGCTAGAGAAAAAGACAAGCCCTATATCTAGCCTCAGGCAGGTCATTAGGGGGCTAAAGGTTTATGTCACGCTTCAGTGTTGTCAGATAAAGGACAGCACCTTTCAGTCAGCTGAGAGAACCATTGGGATCCCCCTTCACCCGATTGATTGAACGAAAGAAAGTCAGCAACCCTGATTTTCAAGGAAAATCCCTCCATCCACCATGTCTCAGGTGAGGAGCGTAAGTGATATTTAATGACCGAGGCTCCCCCTTGACCTGTCACATCGAAGTCGCAAGTGTGTCTTTTGAGGCCGAATAGACTATAATACAGAAGAACTCGGTTATAACGTCAACGAAGGGATCAGGGAAAAATCGTCGTTATAACCGAGGTTGCCTTTATTGACATTCCCTTTTCAAAATAGATGCTATATAACGTTACAACTCCAGTGTACATCGATAATGCCACACTAGCTTCAGTTTCAGGATTGACCCGCTAACCGTAATGTTCCCACTTCTTTAGACCTTGAACTACTTTATACTTTAACAAGGCCTCGTCGACGTCATCTCGAGAGATCTACGAAGTTTCTTGTTTTGAGATATGTTCTCGTAAGCACGGATGAAGTTGCCACGATTTTCCCAAATTGTGGAAACAGGTGAACAGATGTCCATGTTTTTCGAGGGGGACTTCGTCTTTACTTCGAGCACTTTCTAAGAAATTAATCATGCACACTTTCCTTTCAATCGTGAAGGCTTGCCTCTCTCGCTTTCCACTGGCCATGTTGTCAACGAGAAATGTAATGGCGACTGAAGATAAGATGATCTTGGTTACTGGGGATTATCCCTCCCTCACCCTCCTCCAGTCACACCCACACGACTCTCAAGGAATGCCGATTCCAGGAAAGATAACGTAATGGCTAGCCAACGCTCGTTTTTCTTATGGTGGGATTTGCAGTTAAGAATGGCGGATTAGGGACTTCAACATGGTCAATTTCGTCAGTGGGACCTTCAACGGACTTCGTTATAACCAAGGTTCTCGCTATACCCGAGTTCGCTATAACCGAGGTAAAATGTAACGTGCCTTATGGGCACGACGCTGGGACCTGGCGCTTTTCGTCATTATAACCGAGTTCGACTGTAGTTACATTTTTCAACGGGTAAACGTTTTCAATCTTTTTTTGATAAAAACCATCAGAACCTGATTCAGGTGCAGTTATGTGAATATAATGTATTCATTTAATTAATCGTTGAGTAGTCACGAGAATTGCTCCCAGGACCCTGCCCGTACCTAACATTTGGTCCATAGACTGATGCTAAAGGTTAAGTCCCTCGAATGTAAATTGCATTGTCGACATTGTTTATCGAAAACCTATTTATTCACCATCTTTCGCTTTCTAGTTAGCCAGAATTAGAACGGTTGCTTCCACTTTCGCCCCAGCGGAATCTCGCCCCCGCATTCCGATCGACAAGAATCACAAGATGTGATTTAATCTTTGACCTACACACGGTTGAGGCAAAAGTGCACAGGGGCGAATTACCGCCCGTGATTTTCACTACTGATACCCATATCTGCCTCAACTCTTAAAAAGGAGAGGCAAGGTTTCACTATCTCTCCTTGTGTCAGATGTATCCTGATATTCACCTAGAAGAGCCACTTAAACATTTTTGAACTCGTGGCTTTCATTTAGAAGGAGCAGTCGTACATGGAATCGCGGCTGGTCATGCTGGGGACTGGGGGGACCAGGATAAGGAAGAAAAATAAATACTGGGACTGGGAGGCTGGGATTCACCGTCTCCTGAATCTATTTATCTATTTTGGGCAAACAAAATTGATCTTAAAAAAATATGCCACAGCCCTGAATTATGTGGTGCCATTTGGGTAGACCATCTGTTCCTTCGGAAGCAATTCGTTCAGATGCAATTATTTTTAACCGTATGACCTAATTTGTGTGCTTTATACCATCATCATATGATGCTTCATAAGATAACAATGAATTCTGAATCCATGAGAGACTATAGTTACTATCCACTCCATGTCATTTTCAGTATCCATCTTATACAGGGTGGGAAAGTGAAACTGGGAGTTGACCTTACCTTCCCTTTTAAAGGGTTCAGGCAGACGTGGTTATCAGTCACGAAATCAACGTTTGGATAGTCGCCCCTGTGCACTCTCGCCCCCGTTTATTGAGATTAAATAAAAGGGAAAATTTAACAACTATCTCTCAAAGGAAGACATCAGTAGAACAGCGACATCACATGGAAACGAAGCTACAAAACAAAATTTTGCTACCATGGACGTTACGATAGCCTGCATCATGGCACAACGTAACTCATAGGCCTAAAGATCGGTAAAAGATGAAAATACGATTGACAGAAGTTTCTGGCGAAAAATCACCTTCGCCGGGAGCAGAGCACTTTTTTATTTCCACGATGCTCATGAGAGACCTTCCTTGAGAAGTTCTCACTCACCGGGGATGACGGGCAACAGTGGCGATGCATCCGCCATCACTCTTCACTTGTGGGAACCTCGTTGCTTGTTCGAGTGAAGGCCAGATGGCAGAGCTGCAGCTTTATCATTTCATAATTCATTTTTCTTTTACCCTTCACTCTTGACCTCGTGCACCGATTGGATCTAACCCATGGACATTTCTATTTTAATAGTCGATGTCTATCTAATGGCACCCATGTCAGAAGACGCACTAGGCAATTATGTTCCGTTGCAAAATCATGGTTTTCGCAAAAATAATGGAAACGGCACGTCAGAGCAGCCCTTGTTCCATGCAAAGGATAAATGCTCGGATTCTAATAAATCAGTGTGAATAAGTTAAGCGCTCAATATTCAGCGGTTTGGGTGCTAGAGCGCTTATAGACACACAGACAGACGGACTGGGAGAGATACGACAAAGTGTAATTTTATGTAGCAGTCAATGCTTTCTTGCATGTGCTATATTGTTGCTGTTATTTTTATTTTTGCATTGTGCTATGCTTCGTTCGGTAAGCCGAAGCATCGTTCAACAATCCCCCCCCCCCCCCCCCTCGTACCCTAACCATCCTGTTTGACAGCATGAATCCTCTAACGAATGACTTCGGAGCTTCATGGATGCATCGAGCAAAAAGAACCCAGGAAATAGCAAGGGAACATCCTCCGTCGCCGACACATCACACGAGAAAGTAGCTATATCGTTTTCCGCTGTAGGCCTAGGACTTGTGTTCACGCACCTCGGTTACACTACATATCGCACACTTGACATGCGCTTCCAGAATTGTACTGTACTTGAATTTCTTGATCGGCGTACGATCTACCTCTATATTCATGATTTAATGCAGGGGTGTCAAACTGGCGGCCCGCCAGTCCATTTTGTTCGGCCCTTGAAGTCCTCTTCAACGGTTGTTTACGGAAAAGTACTGCAAATTTCAGCCTGTCTGCATAAAATATTAGGAATAAGGCTTTAGTTATGGCCCCTAATCACCCCTGAAGGCTTCCATCCTTCCCCATCTTATCGAGTTTGATACCCCTGATTTAATGTTCTTTTTTTCACTGAAGTTTTGCAGCTACTGTTGTGTTATGAATAAATAATAGGGATTGAGTCAGCAGGAAGCAAAGCGTCGCTTGCAAAGAGATGGGCCTAACTCCCTCACCCCTCCGCCCACTACTCCCCAATGGGTGAAATTCTGCAAGCAACTCTTTGGAGGATTTGCCATGTTGCTTTGGCTAGGTGCCATTCTCTGCTTCACCGCTTATTCCATTCAGGCTGGCACCTATGACGACCCTCCCGATGATAACGTATGTTGCTCCGTTTCACATTCTTATTGCTCTGCACTTCTATGGTGAGACCCCTAATGTTTTTGGATGTTTCAGCTGTATCTAGGGATCGCGTTGGCCGCTGTCGTCATCATCACTGGAGGTTTCTCATACTATCAGGAAGCAACGAGCTACCGTATCATGGAGTCCTTCAAAAACATGGTTCCCCAGGTCAGTTTCTCTCTATTCTCAAGCACCTATAATTTCGGGCTCACATGTGGGACCTCGTGTGCCATGGATCCTCGTAGTATGCCGTCGTCCATCGAGGGAACCAGACTCTGACAGTTCGAGCGGAGGAACTCGTCGTCGGTGACATCGTAGATGTGAAATTCGGTGATCGTATCCCTGCCGATATCCGCATCATCAAAGCCCGAAGGTTTAAGGTTGACAATTCCTCGCTGACCGGAGAGGCCGAGCCTCAGTCCCGCTCCAAAGAGTTCACTAATCCAAACCCGTTGGAAACCCGCAATCTGGCATTCTTCTCCACCAGTGCCGTCGAAGGTACATGATGGAATTTCCCTCTTGATGACTCGCCTAACAGAGGAGTCATTCTGAACATGGTTTATTTTTTACTCTCTCTTCTAAGGTTCTGCAAGGGGAGTTGTAATCCATACAGGGGACAGAACTGTGATGGGTCGCATCGCGGGGTTGGCATCGGGATTGAACACTGGAGAAACCCCAATTGCTAAGGAAATATCTGGTTTCATTTTTACCATTACTGCAGTGGCCGTGTTCCTAGGTGTGAGCTTCTTCGTCATCGCTTTCATTCTTGGCTATGACTGGCTAGATGCTGTTATCTTTTTGATTGGAATAATCGTCGCCAACGTTCCTGAGGGTCTGCTTGCGACTGTCACTGTAAGTCCTACTAAAATTTCATAATCCATTTTGCTATATACCCAAGTAGCACAAAAGTAGTGGACCATAGGCTGCCCAGACACTTTAGTAGCGGATTTCTGCCGGAGGCGGGAACGTGACAGCAAGTGGAACATGCAGTTGCTGGCACGCTACCTAGTGTAGGTGGAGGGCCACCAGTTGTCTTCCCAATACTAGAGGGTACCAGCCCAGGTACAGATCTGGCATCCCACTGACCCCTGTACCACCCTGTATCGTTGGATGTATTATATATATTTATTGCATCCTAACCATCCATCCTTGAAATAAATAATAGCTGTCATTGGTTCGGCGTAGGCCTATATGAAAAGGCCTGGACAACTCAGACATGTTCCCGATGGTCCGCGCGTCCGCGTCGCGTGGAGATGGGAGGACAGTATGAAGTGAGGATGCCAGATATGGCATTCGCTCGTACGCTTAGCATCCCGGTCTACGTAGCAGGGTGCAACCGTTCTCCTCCATTGTCTACTGCGAATCCGTCAACCGCCAGAGCTGGAAGGGAAGTGGATGTTTTCGGGGAAGACGGGCACCTCACCCAGGCGGAAAGTTGCGCGTGCACATTGGGTTGTGCTATTCGGTCGCTATGGTTACTGCGGACAGACGAAATGAAAAAAAAAATGAAAAAAAGAAAAACAAAGGAAGGGGGAAGTGACAGACCGACAGCAATATCAAGTACCTATGGGAATGCCAGATTATAAAATATTTCGGATTTCGGAGTTTCATGTAAGACCTGTTAACTCTGAAAATTTTCAATTTTTCTGAGGTGGTCGAGTGTCATCACTGTCAGTTGGCATGGAATGGCCCCATAATGTAGCTGGCACCAAGAGTCCCCACTAGATGGTACCCATGTTCCCTACATCCTACGAATGCAATTAAGTACCTTCCTTCCTGATTTAGCAAAAGTGTTCCCTCTCATCTTTCCTATTTTTATTGTGCAATTTATAAACAGATATGAGGAAAGCGTGGAATTACGATGTTTTAATGACAATGTATGACTCAGGGAATTATTAAATGCTGAAGTTAAGTATGGGAATACAGAAGTATACGGGAATAAGCAAAGATAAAGTGCATCACAAGTTGCTACACTATAATGGGTTCTGTATTGGAAGCCCAGAAACCCCTCTGAGTTCCGTATTGGAAGCGCAATAGGGGAGTAGTGGGAAGTCTGGGTACTCTTCCGAGTAAGCTAGAGCTCCGAGTTTTAGAGGTTAATCAGATATACATGGGGAAGTATTTCCCTTCTCGGCTGTGGGTACACCACCAACGAGCTACATGAAAATGTGTTGGCCCTATAGCAGCCCTGAAGGTGGTGGCCATGCTGGCGAATGGGACATGCACCTGGTGGCCCACAATTTAGTAATAGTGGTGGGCCACCAGCTCTCCTCTCCCAATGTAGCTGGTGGCCCACCATTTATGTGCTACTTGGGTATTTTCGTGACCACATTTCAAAACAAAATACTCGTTTTCTCCCTTAAGGTGTGTCTTACATTAACAGCCAAACGTATGGCATCCAAGAACTGTTTGGTAAAGAACCTGGAAGCCGTGGAAACATTGGGATCCACATCAACAATCTGTTCTGATAAAACCGGGACTTTAACTCAGAATCGAATGACTGTCGCTCACATGTGGTTCGACAATCATATCAGTCATACTGACACCACAGAGGACCAGTCTGGTGAGAAACTCAATCTCATCATTTTCTTTAAAGTTTATGATTAATTATGTCCGCCTTTCCCTCTCTCCTCTATGTTACCTCCCGATTTCAGGAGTGAAATGTGATAGGAATACTCCCGGTTGGAAGGCCCTGTCTCGAGTTGCTGCTTTATGCAGCCGAGCAGACTTCAAAGGTGGTCAAGACAATCTTCCCATCCCCAAGAGGTTTTATTGTTTTGTTTTGTTTTTTTTTTCATCTTCCTCTTTTCCATATTCCTTTATTCTTCCGCGAATCATGAAGAAAAGATGTTCGTATCTGTAGGAAGAAGGCTCATGGTCAATTTCACGTTCCATTAATTAGTAGCACATTTACATTTACTAACCTACCGAGAAAAAAATTGTAAGCATTCCACCCATCAAGTAAAAAAATATTGAAGAGGAGATAGACAAGTGAGATAAGTCTACTAGTCACTAATATGATATGTGGAAAAATAAATAAAAGTGCGCTCTCAATACAGTACGTTTGCCCTTCCTTGTTATTTGCTTACCAAATATCAGGAGCAAAAATGGGAATTCATGGAACGGTTGCCCCCATCATTAAATACATAATGTTTCGGCTTTTTCCTCAGAGCCCCTTGTGCAGTTTTATCATTTCTTTCATTTGCAATACAGAGAAGTGGCTGGAGATGCTTCGGAGGCTGCACTCCTCAAGTGTGTCGAGATTGCTATAGGCGACATTGCAGGCTACAGAGCTAGACACAAGAAGATCTGCGAGATCCCCTTCAACTCTACCAACAAGTACCAGGTGAGTGGCAAGTTCATATGTGTCTGAGCCGTTTCGAAAATTCTCAGCAACAAAATAGCTTTATAAATGCGTCACATTAAAAAAATTCTCATTCCTGACCGAGTTCATTTTGCCCATTCGAGAAGGCTGATCTTTAACACGAACTCCAGCTTTCTCAGTGCATTTTCTTTATCGCTGGGGGATTGCATGGACAAAATGGCAGAGGGTGATGTGTACTGTACGTCATGATAATAGGAGAACCTGCGAAATTCACGTTTGAAGGCAAGAGCGCTTTCACAAACGTCTCTCCAGATCTCAGCCTTGCATATTTGGAGTCGACTCAACTTCTCTGCCTTATTTTCGTTGGTAGAGAACTTGTTTGGCATGCGAAGAAAGCCAAACGCCCTCCTTTATACCTTGAGCATAAGGTGCCATAATTTTCGACTGCAAGTGAACAGAAAATGAAATGCATGAGGGACTTATGAAATTCCCTATATTTCTCTGTGATATTTTTAAAATTGTGCATAAGCTGTCTGTCGGAAAGAATTGTAGAAAGCCTGAAAGAAACAATTTTGATTTTCATGTGCTTTTCCTCTCTCATATCTGGAACTGCCACCAAGAGAGTCTCAAAAATCCATGGAGAGAATTTCTGCATGCGTAGTACCACTACCCCATGCCATTGGGCCCTGGATCCTGTCACAAAATCTCAGCCACTCGATTTTCTCCCTTCCATGATCAGAATCTCTCGCGTTGTCATCCGTTTTCCTCCATTGTATCATAATTCTTTGTTATTGCAACTGAAGTCCAATTTGTGTGCGTGTTTGTTTTTGTTTTTGTGCGCGCGCATTGAGGTCTTCTAAAAAAAAATACGTAAGTTCCTTATAATAAAAATTTTAATGGAAAATAATCCTTTGTCATAGAAATTCCCATTCTCATAACTCGGGTTCTCAATAAGGCACGAACTTCAAAATTGATCAACTGTCTGCTTTTCCAAAGATTTTGTATTTTTACCAAATAGGCCTATCGTTTAAAATGGTGCCGTACATTCTGAAGTCTGAAAGTACGTACTTCTTGATTTGTGTTCTTGTTCCAAGAACAATTCTTTCAAGAACAATTCGCTTGGGATACCTAAATGACGCGCTAATTTCAGATGGGTGATAACTTGTAGAAGTGCAAGTACGACTTAGCTGGCTTCATATGTAATTGAATGAGAAAAAGCCTCGTTCCAGTGAAACAATGTCATCCAAGAAGATTTGGAGTGAGGTGAAATAGTGTGGATACAGGTGATACTTCCAAAGCTGTTCAGATGTTCAAAGGAAAATATGAATATTTCCATGCCATGTGTCTAGACATGTCGTCATCCATGTCATCAACGAATGTGAGTCAGGTTACAGTTTACGTCTTTACAAATTACTCTTCAAATGAAGCCATAATGCTAGCCAGCATCGCATGGAGCAATCCCGCAACGCAGAGAAGTGTTTCTTTCTAGGGAAAATGATGTTCATCAAATATGAAGGCATTGTTTTCAAGCGAAAACAGAATTAGTACCTTTAGGAGAGAGATACTGTATATGCCTGCACAAGTATGTAAAAAATGGGAGAAAGTATCCAAATCAGCTTCATCAAGCGGGGTATTGGTACAGAGGGAAGAAATATCAATAATAATAGAGAGCATTGTGTGGCAAAGGTTGTTGGAAGGCCTGAAGCGTATCTATGAAATAGTGTGCGTCTCTGATGGAGTTATAGGTAGTCAAAAGATCTTATTTTTCATTTTTGAATCTTGGAACGAATTGACCTGAGGGTAGCTATCGAGTTTATTCTGATATCTAGAGAATTTGTATTTGCATTGGAACGACTTAGGATACGATACAATAAGGTACCGGGCACAAGAGGCTCCAGGCCCGTAAGTGAGCCAACTGCGCCCTGATTCTGGAACACTAGCCGACCCACCCTCCCATCTAAACTCTCCCCACCTGTAACGTCGGCTATCACGAGTAACTTTGGGTTAGCTTTTGTTCCTCTGTAAAGACGTTGGATAAAAAAGAAAATAAAAAAATTAGGCCAGCTCAATACACCGAAATTATTGGAAAACAGCCGAACTTACGCATATGATTTTTTCTTTCTCAGGTCAGTATCCATCAAACAGACGACCCCCATGACCAACCATATCTGTTGATGATGAAGGGAGCCCCCGAGCGTATCTTGGAGCGTTGCTCCACCATCTTCATAAAAGGGAAAGACTTACCCTTGGATGATCACTGGAAAGATGCCTTTAATGCTGCCTACTTGGAGTTAGGCGGTCTCGGAGAGCGTGTCCTCGGATTCTGTGACTACAAACTCCCTTCGGACAAGTTCCCACCTGGCTATCTATTCGATGTAGATGAGCTGAACTTTCCCCTGAACGGACTCCGGTTTGTCGGTCTCATGTCTATGATCGATCCTCCTCGAGCTGCGGTTCCTGATGCCGTGTCCAAGTGTCGATCAGCCGGGATCAAGGTTATCATGATCACTGGTGATCACCCCATCACTGCCAAGGCCATTGCCAAGTCCGTCGGCATCATTTCGGAGGGTACGTTCAGCGAACTTCTTTGAGATTCACGTTAAAAAATTCTGACCTCATTTGGATTTTATGGTTTTGGAGGGTGTGTATTTGGGGGGGCGGGCCATTCAGCCATCTGCTTGATCAATTGATGATATGAGATGCATTCGGAGAACATAATTATTTTCAAGACCACAAGTGCATTAGGATGCTTATGTTTCTTCTAGTGTTTATTTCCACTTTCTATCTGTACCGTCCTTCCTTATTGGTGGATATATCTATAAACCACAAATCTGATTAAGCCACAGAAAATTGAAATCAAGTCCACAGTTTGATCCTGAACGAGGTATCACACAGACATAAATACCGGAAGGTGACAGAAATTTACGGAGTATGGGGTAGGGAAATACAGGGCAATAGTCGAATTCCGTATATGTCCTCGTATAGGTCAAGGTCAGTCCACTGCCCCCCGTGTCGCTTTCGATTTTTTAAATGTCGTTAATGTAAATGCAAAACGTTGCATTCTTCCGTGACGAACGTAAATGACAGGTTCGAGTGAGCTGCAGAGATCTGAGTGTTCTCCAATGATGCTGCTACGTGATTCAACTTTATTTCCTCAGTGTCATTCACCATTCACAGTGTAAGTGCCATACTAGTGCCTGTAAGTGAGCCAGACAATCAAGAATTAAGGATTGATAGGTGAAGGAAGACGCAGGACCTACATGGGATTCAAACACTCCTTCCTTCGTTGCGAACAGGATATAGATGTTTCTATGAAACAATCGAATAGGATGATGAAAGGAATCCGAAGTTGACGTCACGACTAGAAAATATTTTTGTAGAATGCTCTGAATTCCAGAAGTCTATATGGGGGCTCCCAGGTTCTAAGTCCTTCATTTCAAAAGACAGGTAAATAGGACAGAGCAAGGCTCTCGCAAATAATTAAAATTCACTGGTGAGAGCCTTGTCAAACACTGTCAAACACTTTCTGGACCTTTTAACCCTTCTTTCTTTTCAGGTTGTCCTCGTTCACTTCTATTCATGCTACTAGAAGCGACTTCTTTCGAATCAATAACGCAATATTCCAGCATTACCTCATATTCTTCACACCGAGGAAAGCTATTTCATGAGGCATCTGAGTGTTACGGGCAGATTCCACAACCAGAAAAGCCTTGAGAGAACATCCATTCATTTAGCAGCCACCATAAAATATTGTCAGGCAAGAACCAGCCCGGTCGTGCCTAACAGCTATGATTCATCACAGGGTTGTTCGACAAGGAGTCAATCAAGTACAGGTTGACAAGTGCAGCGTAAAGAGAAGGTAATGGAATAATCCCGGTTGACCAACTATGAGAAGGACATATAGAGGCTCTGCTAGTTGAATGTCAGTAGTCCTTCCTGCCTATCAATGCTAACAGGCAGGAAGCAAGCAGGAAGTTATCTCAATCCAAGGGCAGGATAATTGTTTATGAACAAGAACAGATTCCATCGAGTGATATGGGTAGTGGGAGAACAGGTCTTGATTAGGTAGATCCGTAGAATGAGGTAGGACTCACATAATCTATCCATAAATGGATAGATTATGAATAAGAATAGATTGATGGCCCTTTCTCATTTTCTTCTTCGAAGTCTCGCATTTGCCACGACTGTATTAATAGTAACATCTCAAATCTTATCAAGGCAGTGACCAGAAACTACCTGACTGAAAGGTTATCTCGTGCACTGTGACAAAATCCAATTTATTTCGTCTTGCCCTCATCTATTTGTCCTCTTATCATTCCACTATGCAGAGGCGACAAAGGATGATTGGGTTCCCATAATTGGATCCAGGTCTTTCTTTCCTGATTGCTACTACAACCTATCTTCTTGATCCTCTTCGATTGGAGATGATTGCGAGCCACTTCCGCTAGAAAAATTGCTAGGACAACGAAATCTGAAGCTCTTACTTGCAGCCAATCGTCTCTTTTCTTTGCTTCTACCTAAGAATTTGCTTCTCTATCCCACATCTCACTGCCTACCATCATAAGTCAGATAATTTTACCATCTTGTGCCATTCTTTGAAGGTGATAGAGGGCATCAGTAGCAAGTAATGTTAAAGTTGATCTACTGATTGAATTTGATCTACTGTGTGTGTTTGGCAACAGGCAGTGAAACCGTGGAAGACATAGCGAGTCGTCTGCACACCACTCTGACCGATGTGAATCCAGCCCAGGCCCGTGCTTGTGTGGTCCATGGTTCCGAACTCAGAAATTTCACGCCGGACATTCTAGATGATATCCTAAGGTATGGGCTTTTCTCCGCAACTCCTCACGCGATTGGCATAAACTCGACTTTCGAATCTACCTGATGATGCGATCTCCTCTCAGGAACCATGCCGAAATCGTGTTCGCCCGCACTTCGCCCCAACAAAAGCTGACGATTGTGGAGAGTTGCCAGCGTCTGGGTGCAATTGTGGCTGTGACTGGAGATGGAGTCAATGATTCCCCTGCCCTCAAGAAAGCTGACATAGGTCTGTCTGTACACTACCCCTTACGCATAAATTACAGCCCATATTTTGTATGTCTCGGCGGAATAGACACAGGAGAGAAGTCGACAGGGCTCCGGAAATATAGAAGCGTGATGTCATGGGTTTCTGGTGGTCCGCCGGCTGCCTTTTCGCTTCCTTCCTTCACTTTTCTCACTCTCATACCTCCATTTCACGTCCATGCAATCACACCATACCCACACCATCACGCCTCCATCCGGAACTCTGGATTTGTTCTGAATCAACTACTGAACGTTTCATACACATCCATCAAGTACTTTCAGATCTCTAAAATTCATTATCATTTCTTACGAGACTCATCTGATTCATAGATGTTGAGAGGCGTAAGAATCATATTGAATAATGAGTGAATGGATGAGCATTAATAGTAGTTCTAGAAGTGTGACCTTGTTGAAAATTCAGCAGTTCTGATCCCTGCTGCATCTTTGTTGGCAACTCCCTGGCGCTCAACCCTTCTCTCGCTTTTCTAAGCTTTCGACCAAATTTTTGCTCATAAATACTTCTACCTCTCCTGCAGGAATTGCCATGGGTATTTCTGGCTCGGATGCATCCAAGCAAGCAGCTGACATGATTCTCCTAGATGACAATTTTGCCTCTATTGTGACCGGAGTGGAAGAAGGTCGATTGATCTTTGACAATCTCAAGAAATCGATTGCATATACTCTCACTTCCAATATTCCCGAGCTTTCCCCGTTTTTGCTCTTCATCTTGGCTGATGTACCACTACCTCTTGGTACTGTCACCATCCTCTGCATTGACTTAGGAACTGACATGGTGAGATGCTGTCTTTCCCTTTTTTTCTTGCGTCAAAAGACGACCTTTCTCCTCTCATTTTGGGAGCCCTCAATGGACTTCCAGAGAAAAAGGCCCTAAAATGCAATCATGTCAATGTATACTGTCATCGGTTTTCCTTCTCTTCATATTTGTGTTCTTCGGGTAGCGCTCTTACTACATGAGCAACTTCCAACATCCATTTTATATTCAAGTTGTAGAAATCGCGTCATAGATTGAGAACATCCCTCCTGAAAATCGTTCACATTTTTTTTCCATCGGGATTGGTGGCCGAAGACATTACTATTGTTCATGTAAATGCATTGAATGCGAAACTAAATCTCGTACGATCTAGGTTCCAGCAATCTCCCTTGCCTATGAAGAAGCTGAATCGGACATCATGAAACGGCCCCCCAGGAATCCCTTCACAGACAAATTGGCCAACGAGCGGTAAGCCCCAGAGGGCCATGAGCCTCCATGGATGCAAAATTGTCGAGCTGCTCTGCCTATTGCACTAAAATGATTCCTGATGATGACTGTTGATGTGAGTGAGAACGTGTGATTGAAATGCCACTCGGGTGCAGACAGAATCCTTTAAATATGGGTCCGTGGGACGACTGTGTAATGGATAAGTGTTTTTCTCTGTACGTGTATTGGCAGCTGCTTTACTGCAGGTGACGGTGTTTTTCTCCCCTTGTCTGTGCCTTTTTCTGGCTCATTTACATACTCCGTGCTGGTTAGTTACTAGTACTGAGAGCTTTGTCCCCCCCCCCCCCCTACATATAATAGATGTGCGTGCCGAGACTAAATGCAAGAGAATCTGTCAGCATATATTCTCAACCTTCTTCACGTGCTCTATGCCTTTCCGCAACTATTGGTCTGACATGGCATCGAGTTCTACATTTGAAAACTCTTCCATATCAACCATGCAATAGGTCAAAACGTTCATGGTCACCTCGGACTTTATCGTTTGAATATCAGCTCATCGAATCATTGGAGTCATACTTGCAGTGACGGCTAAGCAAGATGACATCCGTCTTTTGGATCAGGTCAATCCGAAATCTTTTTTTAAGGTAAAGTTACTGATCCATCTCTACGATATACTTCTTCAAGCACTCTTGATCTCACTGAATGCTATATCTATATTCTGAGGTTTGTCCTTTCTTCCACTCCCTGATAGGTATCTCATGTTCTGGGATGAATGAACTTCTCTCTTGTTTTAAGTTTGTATCACCTAGAGGATCGCAGGAGACCATTATGTAGGGCTGTGTCAATCGAAAGTGCAACTCTGCGTCTTCTTTATCTTCAATCTCTCGCCTAAGACACTCTACCTTTCAGTGCCTCTTCCAACTGGATTGGATCCACACCAACATTCTTCATTGGTTTTCCTTTTCGACGAGGTTCAATGTGTGGAGCTTTTTTGGATGAAGAATGAGAATGTCATGACTGCTTTGGCATGGTGATTGATAACAAATAACCAAGAAAACGTGAATAGCTTATTAACTTCCGAGCATATCTAACATGTATAATTATTGTAGACTCCAGACGATAGGATCGGGTGGGAAAAAATGTATACTCCTCAAACCTACAAATCATGGTTATATAGAAAATCGACTGCTCTGGAGGTTCTAGGTTGATGCAATCGCGAAAAAGTTATTAAGACTGGGAAAAAACCGAGAAAAGATATCTTCAGCAAGATATTGACTGGAATGCACATCTATGTTGTGGTCTTGAACCCACCAAGAACGTGTTGGAAGTAATTTAATAGATTGACCTTTTGACGCTGTTCATGCTGCATATGGCGGGTTTGAATTAAGAATGGATGTTTCTTGGGCAGAATGATTTACTTGGCATACTGCCAAATTGGGATAATGCAGGCAGCAGCAGGATTCCTCACATATTTCGTCATAATGGCGCAGAATGGATTCAAGCCTTCCCGGCTAATTGGCCTCCGTCGCTATTGGGATTCGAAGGCCATCAATGACCTTGAAGATTCGTACGGTCAAGAATGGGTATGTCACTCTTTCACCTGCCCTGATTCTTCCACTCCGGTCAGAACAGATTAATCTATATGCTTCCTGGTTCCCTAACAGACGTACCACGACAGAAAGATCTTGGAATATACATGCCACACTGCCTTCTTCGTCTCGATTGTCATTGTTCAATGGGCAGATCTGATCATCTGTAAGACACGACGTTACTCGATATTCCAGAAGGGAATGACGTGAGTAGCATTACATTCAAAGCAACCTTATCGTGGTACCGCAAGGTGCACGTTACTTTATATGTTCGTTCACTCAGGAACTGGGTCCTGAACTTCGCTCTCGTGTTTGAGACTTTCTTGGCTGCTATTCTGTCCTATACACCCGGTCTGGACAAGGCCTTGCGCATGTATCCTCTCAAGTATGTCCCCTCCTTATACAGTTATGTTTAATCTTCTCTTCATAAAAAAAATGTTTATTTTCCTTTCTTCATAGATTCGTATGGTGGCTGCCTGCCCTGCCATTTAACTTCCTCATCTGGGGTTATGACGAAACTCGGCGGTATCTCATGCGCCGCAATCCAGGCGGATGGATAGAGAGAGAAACAGACTATTGAAAAGCAAGAGAAAAAGACCTTGAAGAACTCTCGACCCGTGTAGCCTTTTCTGTCGTAGTAGTCATATGGCAGTCCGTATTGTTCTGCCGGACTTCAAGAAATCGACAATCTTTCTCTCTGTCCAAATGTCCCCATGGCTTTTTCCGAGATTTTGCCCATAAAATTGATCTACTCCACCGTTCTCTTTTCATCATTGTCTATTTTTGTTCCTAGTCTTTGAACAAGTACAAGTCTTCAGCACAGCCTTCCTCAAGAATTGTCGCCCATCCTGAAACTCATAAAAGTCCCTGGAGACGGACTGTTGATCAGCAGTAATCGTGAAGCATTTTCGAATTTCTATTCACTTACAACGATGTGCACGTGTGATAAAGGTAAAAAAGAAAACTATAAAATGTGAATCGAACAGTTGCTTTATTGCTGTGCTTGGGTCCTGAAGTTAGTAAAGAGGGTCATACAACCAGCATTTCTCTTTGGATTGAGTAAATAAAACGCAAAACAGTCATAAATTACCTTCTCTGCGTTTTCAAAAACATACGACCCTTTCGGGCCAATTGGACGTGCAAGCTGCTTTTGTTACATAACAGTGCTCGACCTTATAAAACATGATCTGAACCATGTTTCCTGTTTTATGCACTACGGAACTGGCCGGATGTGAAAGCTCAATGAATTTCATCACCCAGTTTTGCAGCTGTGAAAGCAGCCGAATTCGAGAAGTTTGTAAATGTCATTGTAGAGGGAAGCAACGGAGAATCTAAAATATCCGGTCAACTACGAGGTATAATGGAGAACATAACAATTATTCTTTTTAGTTTCTTTTAAAGTGCAATCATGTGATGACATCGCGAGAATGTTTAATGTTGACATTTCATAAGCCAAAGGTGAAAATCGGCAGAGAAAACTGCAGAAAATATGAGATAGTGAAACTGTTCATATCGTTGAGTGGGATTATGGATATTTGCCGAAACCGGAACTCAATGGCTATTGAGTTGGCTATTAATGGCTAATATTGTAGTCCATTTGTTAAGTTCCTTTTTTAGTTTCGTAGGAGGTGGAAAACTGAAAAAACTCAAGTGACAGAACGATTTTACTGACTCAAAATGAAAACTTCGGCCAAACAAGCATGTTCGTCTTCACACTCGTGACTTCATTTCATTCTATTTCAATAGAATTGAAATAATACTTCAGCAAGTACGCCCGAAGAAATGAAAGTCGCTCATAAATATCCTGGTACACTAATAAATAAATAAATAAATAAATAATTGCTGTATGAAGCAAGAAATAGACGCTAACGCGCCTATAAATTGAGCACAGTAGGAGTTGACGAATGTGCAGGATGGCCGACGAAGGGAGAAAGAAAAGTCACCGTCCGGCCATGCAAGGTTGCTGGACATAATTCAGGCAGAACCCTCGATTGTTGGGTCCATCTTTATCCATCTTCTCTTCGACGTCGTTGAAATTCACGTAGATGTTGAACGGCTTCGTGTAACCTGAAACACAGTGACGAACGCATAACGTAACGTTCTCTGTGAGAGAGAAGAGATTCGTGCATTAGGAAAGGAAAGATATATAATTACTGTAGACGGGTACGGGACTGCGGGCTTCGGGGTAGCTGGCGAAGACGTCTCCACAGATGCGATCCACACAGGTGATATGTTTCGCTGCCGAACTCTGGTAATAAGCTCCATTATCCGTCGCACACGGAACGTTGATCCAATCCGTAGCACCTGGGAACAAGGAAAAGGAATGCTTGAATGAATCCCTCGTGGGTGGAACGCGAAGTGCCAGGGAAGCCAAAGAACGAGAAACGGACAACGTTGGTATCCGACGGCAGAGACGGAAGCGTTGTCGGGGTGTGTGATGCTGAAACTCCTCGACGGCAGTTCCTTGTCCTCGCAGGCCATGTACAGAATCCCACAGAATCCCTCTTCGGCCCGAATGCACATCGCGTAATGCTGTGCAGATAATTGACTTCCGATGGCAAAGTCGAAGTTGAAACTGCGGAAGGTGCCAGACACCCCAGTGTAGTACTGCAGGCAACTATCTCCGGCTAGAAAGAAAAGTTTTTCGAAGGTCTGCCGCTTGGAATCGAGATATGCGAATCGTCGTCTAATGATAATCGTATTTTACCTCGATATTGAACGTTGCAACCGATCTGGGAGACTTTGATTCGCCACGCCCTTTGCCAGCCGGGTCCACTCGTCACCACGGTCAACTTACATGGACCTGCACTCGGTCCTACGTCGATGTACACTGATGGATAGAGAAGAGAAAGAAAATCATATTAGTCACGTGCTTTCTCGAGGAATCGTCATAGACGCGATCGTCTGCTCACTGTGTTGACCGCCGTTCTCGCCGCATATGGGAGGAACGGCATGGCTCACCCCAGATACCACGAACACATCATCCTCACAAATCTGATCTCTTGGCTTTGGCTGCTTCAAGGAAAACGCCTCGAAATCTAATCTATAGAATACGAGACAGCAGTCAGTACGTGACGACTGGATTCTCCGGGCTCCCAGGCGTAAATGATGAAAGGGGCATGATACCTGAGCTGGCAGATGTCATCGTTCATCTTCTGGATGGTAATTTGACACTGTCCCGTTCCGTCGTAGGGGCTCGGATATCCTGGATTCACGAAATAAGTCCGGTTCTGATTCGTTGTGTTTCCGCACTCGTACATGACTGTTCGGGCAGGGACATCGTCATCGTGGTCATCATCAGTGCCATCGAGAGGGAAATAATGAGGAATATTTGGAAGCATCGCGATGGCGACACGTACAGGCACAACAGACTCCGAAACCGGACGCGCAAGATCCCATCGGAGTCCCGCCGTTTTCTCGACAAACCCGTTTGTGGTAACAAGTTCCATTTCCCCCGTCCGACGTTCTGCATGCCGTATTCCGGAATTCCACTCGAGCAAAAAACGACAAAAACGAGTGTGCTATCTCCGTCACTGCTTGAAGAGAAAAAACACAAGCCAGAGGATTACAATGAGAGCCAAGGCTTACACCGATTCGTCTCTCATACGATACAAGTTGAAATCGGAATCGATTGTATTTCATCTTGCAATCTATATATGGGGTTGCGAGGAGAAACTCTGAAAAGGAAAAAGCTTTCATTTCGATCACTCTATACACTATGGCGGAAACATGAGACTGAGCAATTATCTCGGAAGGGGAATATATGTAAGGGCTTGCAGGATGAATAGTGAGCATTGTGAGCAGTTCTTGCTTCTGTTGTGCGAGGTCTCGAGCTATTCAATTCACAAAATTAAAGATGGGAACTCAAATTAGAACTAGAATCGGAATCGATATCATACTGAGTACTTACCAAGCCAAAATCGCAGCAGGAATTTATTTTTCCAAAGTATGAACATTGAAATTGGAATCGACGCACATATTCGCGTGCATTAGAATCGAAACCACCTCGCTATTTTTATATATTCTATCTCAATTCTTGACGTTAGCAGTGGTGCTCTGTCTGCTGGACCTTGGAAAGGACTGTCATCCAATCACAACTCAACCCGATGAATGTCCCCAAAGGATCTAGGTGGCAAATGTTCTTCGTCGAGTAGGTTCCAATCCTATCATTGAAGGCTTTTATTCACTTATGTTATAGGACTTTCCTTTCTTTACTTTTAGACGGCTTAAAAGTTCTGAAGGATGACCAGTCTAAACAAAGTGAATTGGTTTCTGTTTTTATTTTTCGCTCTTCCCTCATCATGCAGCACGCAGGTATGAGTGGTGTTACAATCATGTTACCTGTTGCATATACTTACTATTGTGATTATTTTTGCATGACTGCTAGTCATGCAAAAATTTATTCTCACATTTAAATATTATTATTCAAAGGATTATAATAGGAATTTATTAAAGCTTTGGTATCTGACAGGAAGCATAGAAGCCTCTTAAATCGGCTTTCATAACAGAAGGGGGGGTGGTAATTAACGAAGTTATGGGTAATCGTCCGGAGCAGTTAAGCTTCCTTTCCGACAGTCTAAGCAGCCCCCTGCTGAAACCTCAAGATCATAATTCATATTGCAAAATTCTCCCTGAAAGGTATGAAGAGCGGAAACCTCATCGACCTTCGATGAGGGAGTCAACGATCAATAATAGGTTTACCACTGTCACGGCAAGCTATGAAAGTATAAAAAATTTCCAGCGACCTGCATCCACTGTGGGCTTGGCCAATTTTTTTTTTACAGCTTTAATGAGTGAGTGCGATAAGTGAGCATTCATTGCAAGTCCCTCGTAAAAACCAGAAACGATAGTCGAGACAGGGAACCCATGTTCCAACGCAAGAACCAAGCCCACAGAAAAACAGAAGTGTTGAGGTGAAGCACATTCTTTGCATTCGAACTAGGGCGAATCCAGGCAATTCAGGAAGTCACGGTGAGGTGGAGGTGAGAGCAGCCGACTTCCCTCAATGCAGAGAAGTAATTCAATCTTGTAGTTTAGAAGAAGGTCGACCGATTCGGGCATGGAGAAAGCGCTGCTCTCTCGTTTCCCGATTCATTTACTGCTCGAGTTACTCCACGTACGAGGCATACCTTGTCGAGTATCCGCGGTGATGGAGAAATGGGCTCAAGGGAAATCCAGTGACAATTAGGAGAGACCTTGCCGCCGTTCTTATAAGCATTGCTGAACAAAAAATAATTTGGGAGAAATCGACCGTTGACCGGTCATTGCAGAGGACCTGTATGGCTTTTAGCTGCTCCTCCTTTTCGAGGAGGATATCGAAAGGTGAATCTGAGTATTCTCCCGGAAAAGTAGGGAAATTTATTTCATTGGGGGCAATCTGGAATGGCAAGGGGAAAGGACTACTTTGACCCCTTTCGGCTGTGGACAAGTAAGTCCCCCTCACCTCTCACCCTTCCCACTTAAATGAGGAGACTCCTATGTCCTCGCTTATGTACCCATGAGCCTTTATATATTTTTAAATACCCACTTCTACTGATAGCACAAGGATGTCCTTTGTTTCCCCTCGAGATGAGTAATAGA